GCTTCAAAATCAGTGAAGTAATTGGTATTGAGTCCCAATGCCCGAGCAACATTTTTACAATAGTTTTGGCAATTGTTTGACAATTCACGATATTCTCCAAATCGAACAAGTTGATCATGTGCTGTCAGTAGTGATAATATCATGAGCAGACATCAGTCTTGTTGTACCCAAAGATTTACTCTCATAATTCTGATCTCTCAAGTCAACCACCTCAAGTAAAAAGTGTACTGCATTATATTCTATCATCAGGTGAACCAAAAACCCTTGATTGCAATGAGGAATGGTAAAATACAGTGCATGATGGGCCAAGTTTCTGTACAACAATAGCACAGTCCAACTTCTCTCTTCCATCAAGTCTGGGAATTCATCATAAAAATCATCCCATGCAGTTTCCATATCATATAACAACTCTTCTGGGGTCAATCCTTCGAAAGGTTCAGCACTAGTATTAACGGAGATGCTAGCAGATGCCATTGCATCAGCTTTAGCTGTTGCATGCAAAAAGAAACGAGCCCCACCCAAGCGCAGAGATATCCGGATAATCTCCGTAGAACATCTGCGGAGAAAACCAAATATCCGTAGACTATAACCACATGGAAGCAGTAGATAGTTGAACATTAAAAAATAAAACATTTTGTAGTTTATATCAACTGTTAAAAAAGAATACCAATTAGTTTACACAAAATGCACCAGCACTTTTCTTGATCCTAATAATTAACTATAATAACTATGTAATTAGAATCATAGTCTCACTTATATATCCAGCAACTGATGTCTCTCCTACTTCATCAACAGCAATAGCTAGTTTCTCCCATGTTGCTTCAATATCCTCCGTAAGCCATAATGCCAAGCATTCTGTGAGACATTGCTCAGCATCTCGTGAATAGTTAGTCTCTATTGTCTTCAAATTACTGTAAAACAGACCCAAGTACAAGCCAAGATCAATCCATTTTTTAGCTTGAAAGTGACAATCTTTTAACACCTGTTTTATCTCTACTAGATTCCTGATAGTCAATATAACTATTATAAATAAATAATATGAAACTAGTGACAGTGTGTTGTTATACCTTTTCGTTGATCATCATTGGACTCACTGATCTGTGTGGGTGAGTAATTAGTAGTTGACTTGTCCTCTTGAATTAATAGAGCTATTATAGAGAATAAAATGCATGTCATATAGTATCTGACTGCTACTTACTAGTATCATCATCATCATCATCAACATCATCGACATTACCATCCTCTTCCATGTCTACAAGTCTAGGTGAAGTCTAGATTATAGAGGTAAAATAAAAATAATGTCATTTAACATATTTTATACCTCCACTTGGAGCTGTTTTCCTTGTGGCAAATATTTTGTCCTTTCTTTAAACCACAGTGACTCATTATTTGTTAGGGAGCGAGGGCGTCTTTCCTTTTTGCAGTAAACAGGATCAGAGCATGTCTGATTCTCAACATCAATGTCTTTAATGTAATGGACTTCACTGGAAGGATTGCATTGACACACGTATTGTATTTTTCTTGATGATTGATCATTATGGTGACCATGGTAAAGAATCAGAGTTTCTTCTACTTGTTGGCAACAATCATCTAGTAACTTCAATATTTGCTGACAGACTGTTTTGAAAGAAAAAGGATGCCTACTCTCAGATACATACCTCAACACATTAACTTGAATAGCATTATTAATATCAGTGAGAACAAAATCATCAGAAGGACGACCATAAGAGAAGCAGACACGATTACGATAGATACTTCTTCTCTCAACTTTGGAACGAAGATTCATGGTAATAGCTAATCGATCCAAAAAACCAGGAGTGGCAGGTGCTGCATAAATATTATCAAAATTGAGCTTAACATTGGCATTAGTAGCAACAGCAGTTGCTAAGCGAGTGAAGAAGCCAGGAGGTACATACCCAGTGGAGAATGTAATATGTACAGGTGAGGCTCTTAGCTTATAACCAGGTCGTACTTCATTAGGATCACCTGTGTATCCTGGTAGCACTGCTGGAAGAAAATAATGTTTGAATCTGCTAAGCTCAGTTTGAACTGGAGCTGCAAGACGAAAATGAACTAAAAGTTCAATTATTTCTTCTGGATCAATACCACTTGACTGCCATATCTCTTCATAGAGTGGTTGAATAAGAATACCATTATTTTGTAACAAATACCATCTATATGTTTCACTCCACCCTTTATCCAGCGGAAATGCTTTCCCAATGATACCAACAAACCATTTTGGACTAAGGATGACTTTATTTTTCAAACCTTTTATTTGAGAATAGTAAAGCACAGCTCCCAGCTCATGGTAAAATTTCAATACTGCAGGAACATCACGTGCTGGTATATGACATGCTGCTCCAATGGCAATGGCATCAGATACACTAATAATATTCCGCCCTAGCTCTTGAAAAACTTTGCGGAAGAGAACCCAATTGACAGGAGTTGGAACAACTAATGTATTGATGAAAGTATCAATAGCTCCACGTAATTCTGAAATACTTGGATCTTCTCTTCCTCCTTTACCTGAGGTTGTATTATCAATGATTAGCACATCTTTAATAAGATCTGAGAACTCTTTTTCCTTGTACAGGGACTTTATTTGCTTCTTTATTTGTTCTTTTTTTCTTCCTTTTAGCTTGTCACCACGAGTACCAATACAATAGAGACTAGGAGAAGTATCATCTTTGTTGGGCTTCATGAGGTAACTGTGTATTGTAGACATCCATTTTACCATTAGATCACTCGTGCTTTCATTCACTACCTCACCAAACAGCACTTCACCATCAGGAGTATTCTGACGTGACTGCCATCTTTCTCTGAAATCCTTTGAAGCATCAAACAGGAGGAGAAACATTGTACGAGGAGTAAGGAAGGCTGGGAGAATCTCAAGGAACACTGGCTGACCACCACAATCCCATATATGAAGAAATGGCTAAAAATTGATATATTACTTATATCATAATGCTAAACGTAAGTAAACATGACTCACTTGAACAAGTGATTCTGTTTTCTGATCAGTGGAACTAGCTCTTTCAAGAATTAATTTAATACAAATCTCTACATTCAAATCAGAAGCTATTGAGCTAGTAGAAACTAATGCATCTGATTCATTATGAGAATATTCTGCACTCAATACAGAAGCATGGTGTGAAGATGATTTAGAATTAAAGGATTTAAACAAACGAGCAATTTCTTCAAGTTCATCTTCTTCTGTGGCTTCTCTCCATCTGTTTCCTCTTGTTTGCCACTTGTGTCCAAATGGTCGTACAGAGGATACATCAGATACAATGGTGCTTGTAGTATGAGGATTGACAGGTTCTTCCATTAATGAACGCTTGAGAGATGTTTTACCAGTACCAGCTGATCCCAGTAACATAAGACGAGCATACGCTACATCAGCACTTCCTTGTTCTTTGAGAGCCTTCTCATAAGAACCTATAGATATAATGTACATGCATACAAAATATGAGAAAAGAATAATAGTAAAAGTTAGAATTGGATGTTGCCTGCAGCCAGTATACATACTTGTATCCTACAAAATAATGACAAATGACGTCAGAATTTGTTAAATAAAAAATAACTTACTATCTAAAAACACATCAAAATAGTATCATACAAGAAAAGAATAAAATTACACATTCACATCTGATATGACTTACTCTCTGAAAGATTGTGAATAACACAGTTTAGTAAAGTATCACAATGGTATCATAGAAAAAAAGAATAAAATTACACATTTACATGTGACATGACTTACTTCCTGAAAGATTGTGAATAACACAGTTTAGTGAAGTATCACAATGGTATCATAGAAAAAAAGAATAAAATTACACACTCACAAGTGATGTGACTTACAGTCTAAATAACACAATTTATTAAAGTATCACAATGGTATCATAGAAGAAAAGAATCAAATTACACATTCACATGTGACGTAACTTACTCCCTAAAAGATTGTGAACAACACAGTTTAGTAAAGTATCACAATGGTATCAAAGAAGAAAAGAATAAAATTACACATTCACATGTGACGTGACTTACAGTCTAAAAGATTGTATATAACACGGTTTAGTAAAGTATCACAATGGTATCATAGAAGAAAAGAATAAAATTACACATACACATGTGACGTGACTTACTTCCTGAAAGATTGTGAATAACACAGTTTAGTAAAGTATCACAATGGTATCATAGAAGAAAAGAATAAAATTACACATTTACATGTGATGTGACTTACTTCCTGAAAGATTGTGAATAACACAGTTTAGTAAAGTATCACAATGGTATCATAGAAGAAAAGAATAAAATTACACATTTACATGTGACGTGACTTACAGTCTAAATAACACAGTTTATTAAAGTATCACAATGGTATCATAGAAGAAAAGAATAAAATTATACATTTACATGTGATGTGACTTACTTCCTGAAAGATTGTGAATAACACAGTTTATTAAAGTATCACAATGGTGTCATAGAAGAAAAGAATAAAATTACACATTTACATGTGATGTGACTTACTTCCTGAAAGATTGTGAATAACACAGTTTAGTAAAGTATCACAATGGTATCATAGAAGAAAAGAATAAAATTACACATTTACATGTGACGTGACTTACAGTCTAAATAACACAGTTTATTAAAGTATCACAATGGTGTCATAGAAGAAAAGAATAAAATTACACATTTACATGTGACGTGACTTACATTCTAAATAACACAGTTTATTAAAGTATCACAATGGTATCATAGAAGAAAAGAATAAAATTACCCATTTACATGTGACGTGACTTACAGTCTAAATAACACAGTTTATTAAAGTATCA